ACTAAATTTACTGTAGATTTAGTCGACTAAAATCTTATGATATTTAGTCGACTAAAACTAGACTAAAACTAAAAACAATTCAGGTGACTAAAATATGACTAAAACTAAATGGCATTTTAGTCAAAAGACTATGACTAAAACTAAATCAAAATTTGCTGTCAAAATTAACACTGCTACAGAGAATATGATTGCACACCATTATGAAATGCTCTGTCTTGTCTTGTAACAGAGGTGTGGATTCACTCACCATGTCCAGGAGCAGGTAAACAGACTCCCTGTTCCGTGTAGTGCTTTTATCCGTCTCCTGTCCAATCTTCAGCAGGCTGGAGGAGGCGAGCTGTGGGAGAGAATTACAGGGTTTTATTAAGCTGCAAAGTCCCACAGAGAGAGTTGCACAAATTTAGTGTTTATTGTTGACATGTTAACGTAAATCGCATGTTGTGTAGTAAAAGTATTGGAAATGAAAAAAGCTTTAAGCCTGGAATTAGGACAATTACTACTAATAGTGTTACTTACCGCGAGGAACTCTTTGAGGCGATCCTCTATGCTGCCCTTGTGGATAGTGAACAGAGCAGCGGCAATCTGGTTTATCGCTTTAGCCAGACAGTGAATGTTGTTGCAGTGACCTTAAAAGATTTATAGAAAGTTAACACACACATGATAAATGCCATGCACATTAAAACGCGTCGTTCCAGCGGACCGCAGTTCAAACAGCACAGATGTAATCTGATTTCATTCGCAGCGGTTCAGCGCGAGACTGAAATGTAAAAATTGGTACCTTCTATTGCGGGACTGTACTGTGACATCACATTGCTGGCCAGGGTCGGCATGGAAACGGCCACGAAGACCATCAACAGGCAGGCGATCTTGTACTCCTCCTCTGGGCTAATATTTTCTGTTACAAACAGAGAATTGAGTTCATGAATGTTCCTTTAGGTAACTCCGAGAAATACTGATGTGCTGCCATTGTGAGATGGCAGGGAAATTGCAGTGATTGCATTTCTCTCTCTGGACAGTGTCCGAAAATCTGTGCAAAGAGCCAAGAAAAACGGCACTAATGTCAAAAAATTAACTGTTGTTTATGTTATTAGCGCAACAGCATTTGGGAGTGATTCAATTAAGTCTAGTTTGAGTTGACTCGCTATTTAGATAGTAAACAGAAGACGTTTGGTTTTCACCGTCGGGGGAATAGAACAAAAACATCGGTGCTGGCCAAGAGGCCCTGGAGGGTCTGGGCTGCTCTAAGAAAATGAAAGCTGTTCACCGGAGAGCTTTGCTCAGTTCTGGAGAACTGCTATGTGGAATGAGATATGTTTAGGTGCACAAGGCTCTTCTCAAGAAGCTGATTCCTCGAATTATTTCAAGTAGTGGTTACTCTTTACAGTAAAGTCAAAAAATGTTAAGAATAGTGCGATATAGTGCAAGTTTACATACAATTTTACAAGTTTTTTGGTCTGTAAGATTTTTTAAAATGTTTTTGAAACAAAAATACTTACTACAAATAACTGATGTTATTTGATAAAAACATACAGTACAAATATTGTGAAATATTACTGCAATTTAAAAATTCAGTTTTCTATTTGAATATATTTTAAAATGTATTCTTGTAATGGTGTTGCTGAATTTTTAGCATGTTGAAAACAGTTGCCTAATTTCTGTGGAAATTTACAGGATTCTTTGATGAATAGAACGTTCAAAAAGACAGCATTTATTTGAAATAGAAATCTTTTAATAACATTATAAAGTTTTTTTTGAGCAATTTAATGCTTCCTTGCTGAATAAAAGTATCAATTCTTTCTTTCTTTCAAAATAAAAATTCTGACTCCACACTAGTGTAAACGAATACATTTATAACATTATGTTTTAAAAAATAACAATAGTTAATGTATCAGGAACAAAACTCCATACTTATAAATTACATAACAAAATAAAACATACTTTATATAACTGAGTATAATATTAAAAATATTGAGATAAACAGCAGCATTTAACTAAATATTTCCATTAAACAATGATGGAAAATGCCTTGCAAAGACTTGAATGAATCAGTGACTCTTTTTTCAACCAGTTAGCTGAAACAACCTGTCTGAATGAACCGATTCATTAAAATTAAGTGCATTTGATTAATGCCTCAGTTTGCATGTCTGTAAAGCTGCATTGTAATACATAGACCAAAAAAAAAAAAAATTGTTTGCAGCATTTATAAATCAAGTAGCATTATTTTGTCACATTACACTGTTACAAAAAGTTGTAGTTACTGGCAAAGCAATGCTATTTTGAAGATAACCAAGTACCTATTACACTACAAAAAAAGTTAGCAGTGTCGCTTTTAGTTAGCTACTCCACAACACCGAAAACGACACTCATGAGACACTAAAGTGCAGATCTGCTCTGCACAGATATTTGTATTATTTTTAACTCTGGAGGTTGTGGTTAAGATAGGCCTGGACATGTGAGGTTTGAAACTTTCTTGTGAAATCATTCACCACCGAAATAAGACATGGTAAACTGATACTGTGACTAAAGTGGACATGGGTGTGGATGAAATGCATGTTTCTGAGTGTGTATTATAGTGTGAGCTTACACCGTAATCACAGTGCAAGTGAGCATCCTAACGCTGCAGTACTTGACCAGATTAGACCTGATATAAACCATGTGATACCACTTAACGTTTCAA